TATTAAAAAAACAGATAAGTTACTATCTGTAGTGGAGGAAGCAAAATGTATATTTTGTGATTTTTCAATATTTTAATGATCCTAGGAGTGTAAGTAATAAGATTTATTGCATAGCACATATACTAGAGACATTTTCAAAGTAATTTAAAAGTTATATGTATTAGAGAAATTTTTGCAATATAAAGGTATATTAAATGTCACAATCATGAAAAATACAATAAATTTTTCCAAGTGGATTAATTGTCTGAACCATTACACATATGTGAACATCTTTTCATGTTTGATCAGTTTTATTCCTGATGGTAATAAAAGCAAGTAAATGAAATGCAAAATCTTGACTGCGAGGTAATGGTTGAAGTTTTCACATGCATAAAGCATATAGGTAAATTTATGGTCTTATGATGGCTGTCAGCTGCTAATACTGTATGTATATTCTTATAGAGATCTATAGCATCATGGCCGAAATCCCATGGGCACAAACTCACAGCGGGTGTGGACTGTGCAAGTTGAGTTACCTCTCTTGGAGACGGCTTTCAAATAGCTTATCTGTTTTTGTTTAGAATTTCCTGTCTGCTCACCACTGGCCTACTCTTTGCTCCTTTAGAGTTAAAATGCAGCCTCAGTGTGCAATAGGGAAGCTTACAATTGCAAGCAGTCTCTTTATAGTCTGGCACCCTGTCTCACTTAAACATTTTTTGGAGAGGCTGAATATATGATTCCAAAGTATATAAAGTTATTTTTCCCTTTGATTTAGTTCTGTAAAACTTTTAAAATGTATTTTCTTTTTATTACTTTTATTGTTTTTTTTATTAATTATTTTTCTATCACCATTTATTCCCTCCATGCCCTCTTCCACCTAGACACCCCTGGTCTCCCCACAATCACCAGATTGTTGTCCATGTACATGAGTTTTTTCTCATTTTTTCTCTTTTTTACTTAATCCTGTATCTCTTCCCCATACCCCTCTTACCACCAGAGCTGTCTGTGCTCTCTAACTGTGAATCTTCTCTATTTTGCTTGGTAGTTCAGGCCAATTAAATTCCACATATAAGTCTAATATTCTTAAGTTCTTTATGCTTTAGAATCAAAATTAGATTTAAAAAAAGGTCTTAGTTTCAATTCCTGTGCCTCATTTTCAGAACATCTCGTTCCCACAAGTGTGTCTGAAGGTGGAGTGTATGTGACTTAACAACCCCATCCTGCTGCAGCTCATGCTGCTTCTTCGCCACTGGTCAGATCCAAAACCCTTGTTGTTTCCTGAGTTTCCCTATTTTATATCTGAGTCTTTGGTTTCCTTCTCCCTGTTCCTCCTTCTAGGCAGGAAGAGAGCTATACTTTAACCAGTACTTCTGTTGTGGGGGTAATTATTTACTTAAGTCTTAGCTGATAAAATCTGCTTCTATAAACTTAATGTAAGAGGAAAGGTGACAACTTAATAAATGTCAGCTTTTAAGTAGTTGAATATAAAAAAGCAAACTCTTTAGAATACATCATCTTCTATAAACATGTTTAAAATCAACAGATTTTATCTACAGTACTGTAATGTATAAAAAACTAACTCCATGGAAGTTAGTAGAAATTAATTACATGGAACTCCTATTGTAAGAAGGCTACTTTTACAAGGAAGGAAAATGTAATACTTCATAGATTTCAGCCTGAACTTTTGGGTAAATTTGGAGAAGCATATCATTCGTAGCATGGCCGTAGCAGAAAGATTTAGTTCCCAGAGATTACTGGAAAAGTTCTTTCTGGCTCTCTTTTCTATATTGTCTAGTGGGCATTGCCTAGTGTTTTGTCTACCCCAGTAATATCCCTATTTAGAATTTAGTTTATTATTCTTAGCTCACTATTTATTTATTTATTTATTTATTTATTTATTTATTTAATAATTCTTTATTGTTGAAAGTATTACATATGCTCCCCCAGCCTGCCCCACCCACCTTGCCCCAGGCCTTCACCACCTTATTGTTTGTGTCCATGGGTTATACATGTATGCATACAAAATCTTTGGTTGATTACCTCCAGCTCACCCATCCTCCCCATCTTCTCTCTTGATATTCTGTTCTCTGTTCCATGCGTCCATGTATCTGGATCCATTCGTTCATCAGTTTATTTTGTTACTTAGATTCTACATTTGAGTGAGATCATGTGATACTTGTCTTTCTCTGACTGACTTATTTCACTTAGCATGATACTCTCCAGGTCCCTTCATGCTGTCTCAAAGGGTAAGAAATTCTTCTTTTTCACTGCGGCATAGTATTCCATGGTATAAATGTACCACAACTTTTTTTATCCACTCATTTACTGATGGGCACTCTGGTCTCATCATCTCACCTTTTATAGCACAATCACCTTGAGTTGGAAAAGGTTTCTGATTAAAGACTCTAATTGATGGGTGTCTTATGCTCCTCTTACCTGGTTGTATAAACACTGCTCACCTCTTTGTGATCCATATCTGGGCAATAAAAGCAGGTAAAGTGTCCTAATAAATTTCTAGGGTTTCCATTTATAAATCTAGTATTAGAAGCAAAAAGGAATTCCTTTCAATTTGTTTGAAAGAGCTCTTCATATACTCTATAGAAAACTTAACTTTGAAATGTCAAAAGCCTAGCTAAGAAAAATTCCTTTGAATTTTTAAAGACTACTACTTTATCAAGTCAGATACTGAAAAGCTATGTACTTAGGCCACACTTCAGTAGCATATTGAATACATGCTATAAAGGAATTATTATTAACTAGAAGCCCAGTACATTAAATTCTTGCACTGTGGGTGGGTGGATGTCCCTCATCCCAGCCTGCACTCTCTCCAATCTGGGATCCCTCGGGAAATGCCTGACTGCTGGTAGCCGGACATCCCTCTCACAATCCGGGACTGCTGGCTCCCAACCACGTGCCTGCCTGCCAGCCTGATCACCTCCTAACCACTTCCCTGCCAGCTTGATCGACACCTAACTGCTCCCATGTCACCCCAATTGCCCCCAATTGCCCTCCCCTGCTGGCCAAGTTGCCCCTAACTGCTCTCCCCTGCAGGCCTGGTCATCCCCACCTGTCCTCCCTGCTGGCTGGGTCACCCTTTACTTCCCTCCCCTGCCAGCCTGGTTTCCCCCAACTGCCCTTCCCTGCAGGCCTGGTCGCCCACAACTAACCTTCCCTGTCAGCCATCTTGTGGCATCCATCTTTGACCACATGGAAGTGGCCATCTTGTGCAAGGGCATGAGGGTCAATTTGCATATTATCTCTTTATTATATAGAACTAAAGGCCTGGTATACCAAAATTAGTGAACTCGGGGGTTGGAGGTCCCTCAGTCCGGCCTCTCACAACCCAAGACCCCTCAGGTAGAGTTCCTAGGCCTGGCCTGAGATCAGAGCCTATTGAGGCTTTCTTTCCCTTGGCTGCAGGCAGTGGCCCCACCCCTGCTGCTGCCACTGCTTGCCATCTGTGCAGCACTGCCCCCTCCCTCCCCTATCACTGATGGCCTCCCTCTATAGGCAACAGGCATGGGGTGTGATTGGCCAGCCGCACACCTCCCACAGAGTCACGGCTGCCAGTGGACTGAGCCTCCCTCTTTCTTTGTTGGGTGGTGGAGCCAGTCCTGTGAGGGGCTGTCTACCTACCTGATCGCCCATAACCACCCACCTGCCTACCTGATTGCCCCTAACCACTTGCCTGCCTGCCTGATCACCCCTAACTGCTTGCTTGGGGGCAGGGCTAGCTGGGCTAGGGGCAGTGGTGGTTCTGGTCTCTGGTCATTCCGGTCATTATGCTTATAGTGGCTGGCCTATTATTATATAGGATGGTATGCCCTGGACTTGTTAATATTATGCGACATTAAAGAGGAGGCTGTGTGACAACTGTTTCTATTCGTTTTTGTAGAATTGCACTTAAATTCTGTGGTTATGTTTATTTTTAATACTTTATAGAGATTCATGTAGTTAAAACTTAGAACTTTATCCTAGAAGAATTTCCACTTCTTCTCAGGAACTGGTAGCCCTTTATTGGAACAAAAGTTTCCCAGTTTTAGAGGCTTTCTAAGAATCTCAGAACCAAATGGATTATAGCTTGGCTATTCTGGTAAAAACCTTACTAATGTTATCTGCACCCCCCCCCACCCTCCCCCTGTTCATTGGTTCATGTTTTTGTCTCATCATTATAATCTTTCCTTTGCATATTTTTTCTGGAAATGGACAGTGTATAAGTAACTGTATGGGCTCCACTATTTAATTCTAAACTGTGATATCAGAGTATCTAGCCACTTACCAAATTGAGAAAACAGTTCTTTTCCTTAAACATTATACACCTAAGTAGTTAAAAAAAAATACTTGGGGAATCTTCTAAATTAGCACACTGATTGAGTGAACCCGCATTCAACTCTGACAGTTTGAGTTGCACTCATGGAGACCAATCGTGGATCTCTCTCTCTCTCTCTCCCTCTCTCTCTCTCTCTCTCTCTCTCTCTCTCTCTCTCTCATCACTGAAAATCTTAGTGTGAGGATATGCAGAGACCATGGAGAGCCAAACAGGCACAGGGGCACATGGCTCAGTGGTCACCCCACTTCGTCCATATATTCCAGTCATAGTTATTCCTTTTGATATCCCCCTGTAGTTTTGGGGTCTTAGTTTGAACTTCCAAACCTCAGTTTCACCAGGTACCCTCAAGAGTACCTTCCTTTTACAGAGTATTCCTGGGATTACCTAAATTGTAGGTTATAAAAAATTCCTTAAATATGCTTTTCAAATAGCAGAGCGATTTTTTTTATTACAATTTACCTTCCAGGATAATTGATAGACTATGTATAATTTGATTTACTTTGATTTACATGAAATAGGATAAAAATGCTAAATATTTATCCAAGTAAATAGATAACTTTTGAGTTTGGTGCTTAGAAATAGTATCACTAGAGCATATTTTTAATGAGCCAGCTTATTTACTTAAAATTAAAATGTAGTTTACCTTTTTGAAAAGTTTGAGTCATAAAACTTGTTGATGGTTCTACTACAGGATCCTGGCTACTGGGTGAAGATTCATCACTTAGAATACACCGACGGAGGAATCCTGGATCCAGATGATATCTTGGCTGATGTCGTGGAGGACAAAGATAAGGTAAATGACTAAAAATGTTCCTTGATGCTTTCCTCTGTAGAGCTGTGTGTTTTCCAGAGGGTGAGATCCTTAGCAGACTCGGGTGTCAGTTATTATTAAAACATACCATCTGTTCAGGTTTTACCTGGGCAGCCCATAAATCAAAGTTCTCCATGAGATACTTGGGAAAATGTTGTCAAGGTTTGGAATCTGTTCATGGTAGCCTAATGAGCAGACTCTCTATTCCCAAGAGCTCCTGAGACGTCTCAGTAAATTAGTTTTAGGCTCTGAAGCTGTTGGAGTCATCACGGTCATTGTTGTCTCTTGAGTTTATACTTGGCCTTTGTTGAATATTCAGCTCAATGCCTGCCTGAGATTTGAACATGTTTCAAAATATAGAATACAGTGAGAAGGAAAGTCATAAAGAACTATGGTGAAAACTTTTCCTAAAGTAGTTGCACACAACTATCTTCCCTGATCCTTTTGTTTTTATTGTTAACATGAAACACTAGATTGACTAGTCAAAAAAAGTTGGGCATGTTTTGCCATCTATTTGGGAATAATTCCATTGCCAATCATGTTTTCATAGGATTTTTCTTCTGACACTAAGCTGGAAAAGGTATAAACTAAACTATTCAGTTGCAATACACTGGATGATTGATGTTGAGGCATTCATCGTTGATCACTTCTTCTGTGCTGGCCTCCTCTTCTCAGTGGCCCATGTGTCCTTCGGAACTGAACTGCAGCCCTCCCTGAGAGAGCCTTGCTTCAGTTTCCTTTGCTGTGCATCCTGTGTGCACCAGGCCAGTTTATGTCTGTGAACATGTTTTTCTGCATTGTTTATTGCAATCTCAGGTAGGGGAGTGCGTGCGTATGTATGTATGTATGTATGTATGTATGTGTTTGTGTATGTGTGTGTGAATGTGTATTTTAACCAACTGAAATGTAAATACGTGATTTATTGAACTTGGGTAAAATTTACTATTTCCCCCATAAAATATTTTTTTGGACTTTTCACATTTAATCTTTGCAGACATTCTGCCCACTTATTTTTCTTATTTTCTGTTGGGACTAAGTAGTGGTGTTATTTTCCGTTGGGACTGAGACTTGCATTGTAATTAGTGACTTCATAAGGGACTTATCTCCCTAACTCGATTGTAAGCTCCTGGAGGACATGAACTAGAAGATTATTTTATTTCTTGTGTGTTCCTTGTATCAATGATATCTGGTACGATATCTTACTCAAACTTGATTCTCCAAGAATACTGAAATTAGTGAAAAAGAAATCTTACTTGTCTACAGTTGACTTCTGCTGAACATGGTTTCAATGCACACTTCTTGGTTGTAGTTGGGTCTCACAGTATGTAATCCTGCATTATTTATGCTCATAACTTTAAAGGAGGACTTCCACTTCTGCATTTTATCATTTTGCTTCTGCTGTTTCCTACAGCCATCTTCTTCCTTGGAAATATTCTAGGCATTTGGGTTGTTAATGAAGAAGGTCTCCCTATCTCCAGTTTCTCTGTTGTCTAGTGTATTAGAATAATGGAGAGCTGAAAAAATGGCAAGTTTAAGAAGAGCCAGAAGAAAATGCCTCACCCCAGTCTCATACAGGACCTCATTACAGGAGGATGTTCCTGTGAACAGTGCCCAGGGACATAATTTGTCCTATAGAGCTCTTCCTTTTAAAGAAGTAATTTTAACTGTCTTGGCAGTGTGCATAATTAATTTACTAGACACAGAAACAGCATTTTTGTATGTAATCTCTGTTTTAAGGGGCTTCACCATCACTACTAAGTAAGGTGAAAAATTGGGATAATCAGTTAAAATCCTAGCAAAGGATTAGTGTTGTTTGGGTTCAGATTTAGTGAATCCTATAATACTCTTTTCTTTTCTACTGAAGCCTAACTTGTATCGTTCTGAAGAGTTGATGGGAAGTTCTACGTTTGATTTTGTCAGAAAACACTGTACTCCTATTTCCTTCTTTTTTACAAAAATGTCAGTGAAAAAGAGAGCATCACTAATTTTTTTTCCTGACACCCTCTCTACAATCTTAAGATTTTTCTCATAGATTTATTTTTGGCTTTCACTAAATATTCGCCTTAATGTCTGAGATTTGAATATGTTTCAAAGTAGAGAATACATGGGGAGAAAAGTCTTACGGTGAAGATTTTTCTTTTCGCACACAACTATCTTTAGTGATCTTATCTAGTATGCGAAGCAGATTCTGCCAGACTCCATCTTTCCTGATATTTTTTGTCACTTAGATTAAGAAGTATTTATAAGCGATGCTTCAGGACACGTGACATGCATTTAGTGACATGTGAAATTCACTCAAGATCCCTTGAGATAGACTGGGCTTAGATAAAATTATAACTCACCTATTTTTAAAGTTGCCGTCTAATACTTTCTTGTATTGAGAATACAAGACAGAAAACAAGCCCAAAGAGTCACGATGGAGGTGCATAATCCTTGTGCCGAAGTCCACACATCTAGGAAAGACTCACTCCAGGTGAAAAATTCTAATTAGGAGATAGCTTAATTGGAAAGGATGAAGCAGGAAAACCAGAAACGGAGTTAGAGAGCAGAGTAGGCGGAGGCCATTTAGTTAGTATACAGAAGGCCATACAGCACACTTCTGTAAAGATTAAAATTACAGGATACATGGCATTTACTTAAAACCAGGCAAGGGCTAATATAGCTTAGTAAGTTTTCTAAAGAAAAGGAATAACTTTCTAAACATGGGCACTAGAAGTGATTTGTCTTTGGTCTTACCTCTCTTAATAACTTTGGCCAACATAGAGTATGGTGCATGCCATTCATGGGGTCCCTCTGGGAGTTGTTTGTTTATCTGTTTTTTATTTGCTTTCCCTCTAGAGCCCCTTCACAGGGAAATCGGGTTTTTACAATGATGCACTATTTCATCTTGTATTTTTTCAAAATATTATTGGAGCAGCTTTGGAATTTTGTGTAAGATTTGTGCTGAAACTTAATTATCCAATTGTGACAGGTTTTTTTTTTCCTCTCTCTCAAAATTCTTCATTTTTTGGTATCTGTCTGATGATTTGATTTTAGCCGCATGTGCTGCTTACAAGAGGCAGTTCTCTGGGATAAATATCTAAGAATTTACAGCTTTACACTAATGTCTCCTCTCTGGATGCCCACAGCTACCGACTGAGTTTACCTAATAACAACTACTTAATATTTTATTGAGCACTAACAGTATCCCAGCATGTCTTTGCACTTACATATTCTATTTTAGAGTGACCCTGTGGGCAGGAGCTATATATTACCCTGTTTTGAGGACAGCCATAGAAATTCTAAGCGACTTGCTGAAGACCACACTGGTGTAGTAAGTGGCAGAGTCAGACCCTGGAACCTAGAATTTAAATTTTGACACTATTTTGTTCTTCAGTGTGCCAAATAGTGTGTTGGGTATTTGTATCTACAATTTCTAATTATAAAAAAAATCATCAATCATAAATAATAAAAAATGTGTTTTTATACAGTTAAATCGTTATTAAAAAAAGATAATAGAACTATGGGGTGCAACAAAATTAATCCAAAATTAGTATGACATGCATATATAGTTAGCTTCACTGATCTTTGCCTGTAGCCTGCATTACGGTAATTTCCTGTACATGCCTACCAGTTTTATCAGCTGCTTTCTCTTGTGTCTCCTTTCCAGGCCCTAGGTTACTCAGTTCAGTTTAATTCCAGGTGGATCTTATAGACTTTACTTATTTCCGAAATGACACTAAATGCAGTTTCATAAATAAATAAACGCTGTATTCTAGTGGCTACTTTCCAGATGGATTACAGAATGCATGCAGATTATACACTGTGCTGTCTGCAGGAGGCAGAGTGTTGACCCCCAAAAGCATCTGTACCCTGATCTCCACAGCTTGTGATTATGTGTGTTACATGGCAAAAGGATCTTTGCAAAACTGATTAAGGACTTTAAAATGGAAAGTTATTCTGGATTGTTTGGGCCCAGGATAATCACAAGAGTCCTTATAAATGAAAGAGGAAGGCAGGAGAGTCAGTATTAGAGAGAGAGCATAGAAGAAGTTGACTGTCCAGTGCTGGCTAGGAAAATGGTGACAAAGAATGCACTCAGCTTCTAGAATCTGGAAAAGGCCAGGGATGAATCCTCCCATAGAACCTTTAGAAAGAACACAGCATTGCTGACCCCTTGATTTTAGCCCCATGAGGCCCATTGCAGACTTTTCACCTCCAGAATTGTAAGTTACATTTATGTTGCTTGAAGGCACTATAATTTGTTACAGAAGCAATAGGACACTCATATATTGTCTCTTATCTAATTTTAAACTTATAAAGTGATGATGGATTTCTCAGTTTAATTTTAACACTGCTTTTTAGATCTTATAGGACAGAGAAAATCTCTTATACTTCAGATTAGTTTATTGGCATGTGCTTTCCTTCCAAACCAATTCTCAATTCTTTGGGTGAGCCTTCAGTCTTTGGGACCTGAATGTTATGCTGTTGTCTTGTATTATGTAGGAATCATTGAAGTTCCACACCCAAGAGCTATGTAGTATTCCTTAATCAGTTTCTCATTTCAATATTCAAAGGCCCTAGGAAGTCTAAAGATTGACGCTTAATAAGCCACTGTAAAGCTTATTGTTCTCTAATTGTGTTTTTTTTTTTTTCTTCAGTCTGAGAACCTCTGAGTATTGAACTTTTTTAATGATTGTTTTTCTTGTTAATTGTCATTATTATATCTTGACTTGGTTGTAGAAGACAATTGCAATAGAATACTGAAATGTGCAAATATAAAACTTGTAGTATGTAAATTGGAATACTGCCATGGTTATACTAAATATACAAAAGTGAAACTATATTATGTGGTAATGTCTCTATTTTTGACAAAACTTGGACTGCACCAGAGTTTGTCTTGGAGAGATGCCAACATCTCCTGGCCTCTAGCAAGGTGGGGCTGCCTCTGGAGGCTGGGCTGCTTCCGGGATCACAGGTGATACCTAGCACTCACCTATGAC